AGGCATTATAAAATTATGTTGAGTTTAAACCTATCGGTAACTTACCAAGTACAAGAGTAATTTGCAGCTGTAATAGATATGCACTAAATAATACCGATACAAAAATTTTAATTCTTTATGTCAGAGGTTGTTATCAATATGAAGCTAGAAATGACAGCTCTACGTAGATAGACCCGGGTTTACATATTTATCGTAGACCTAATTGTAGCTTTAAAAAAATTATTTGTACATGGTATTCACGCTAAATTTTGTAAATCTTTAGGTCTAATGCGAGAGAACTCATTGTTGTTGATCAAACAATCAAAAATGATCTACATTATCAGAAACATATTCAAAATTTTAATTTATTTTATTATGTTCAATAGTCTTACATTTTACGTATTATTGAAATTTTTATGTAAACACGACTACACCAAAATTATGTCAACAGATTTTAATATAAACGTTGTGATTTTAGTGTTAATGACTTGAAAAATTTGAATTTTTTTTTGTTTAAAATGGTTAACAATATGAAAGCGTTATTTAGCTGTGTTAATAATATTGAGACAAATTTGTAGATTCAACAAGTCAGGTTTCGGATATACCCGTCAGATAACCGGGTAGCATTTTTTCAATCGGGTACCATCACTAGCTTGATTAGTGTTAGCCGTGAGCTGAGCCGAACCATTTGCATCACTAATTATATGTAAAATTTCGATTTATCATAAACACTAGTTTTTGAGTATTTTGAAAATACTCAAAAACTAGTGTTTATGATAAATCGAAATTTTACATATAATTAGTGATGCAAATGGTTCGGCTCAGCTCACGGCTAACACTAATCAAGCTTCGGCTCAGCAAGTAGAGCTGAGCCGTTTACAAGCCGAGTCGTTACTCTAAGGGTAAGATATAGTTTTTCTCATAATTCTCAACTTTATGCAATTGACTTTTCACAGACGAAGCTTTAAGTACTACTCTATGTAAGTATATTCACTTATAAACATTTTTTATAGAAAATAGTAATGTATAGTAAAACATAAACGTTCCGAACAATTTAAATAAATTGTTAATTTCATCAAAGTCACAATGCTATGTGAGTTTATTATTGGCTAATAGTAATATGATATAACCCTATCGGCTCACAGCTCCACGATCGGCTCTGAAGCTTTACAGCTGTTCTCATAAATTCTGGGACAACTGAAAATTTATGATAACGGAATTCGATAAGTTTCCGTGTTCGGACGAAGCCAGTTACCTATTGATTCCGACTCGGTAACTTATCGAATTCAGTCATCAAAAATTTTTCAGTTCCAGAATTTATGATTAGTAGGCCTGCTCGGCTTAACCGTTCGGTTCGCGGCTCGGCTCGAGCCGTTCGCATCACTATATATAATGATCAACAGTCATATGGCTATAGCTTCTAACCCCAAAATTAAACATCCTTTTTTGGGTTGTATTACCGGCACAAATAAGTAAATCCTCCCGGGCAATTTATGCCCTACGTACGATCATGATATAATGACCAGGGTATAATCTAATTAACTCATGATATCAGAAATAGTGACCAGGGTAGTTATAAATACTATACAAAAATGGATAATTTAAAATCGGATGATGTTTATGATTAACATGTCTAAATGTCGGATACCGATACGAATATTCAGGATCGTAAATGTTGCCTGATTTAAATCATCCCTACAAATAGCGATACATCGCCCACGGAAAAAATAAATTTATCATATGTTATTCGTGGCGATAATATACAATAAATAATAGTCCATTAAAATTCAGTAAATAATAGCGATAGTCCATTAATGTTAAATTAAAAATTTTTTAAAAAAAAGAAATTATTCGTAGCTTGTGTCGCTTATGTCATATGAAAATTATATTAATCAAAAAAGGAAACAATTGGAGAAATGACTTAATAAAAGAGAAAGTTCTTTAGATCAAATACTGGTCCAAGAATAGATATTATAAAAAAGGGAAAACAATTGGAAAGTGCCGTAATACGCAATAGCGGTAGAGAAAGTTCTTTAGATAAAATACTGGTCCAAGAATAGATATGAATCGGCTATGTATATTTGTTAAAAAATATTTACTTAATATTTATCGCTGTCACAAGGGTTTTAATTATGACGTAAGTTTCATTTTTATTTTGTGACAAATACGTATTAGCGTTAGCAGGTGGCTACGGCAACGTGGCTAAATTCGCTTAGCCACGTTAGCCGAATTTATGTTACAACACTTTTCGAATAAAGTATATTGTAATCTGGACAATAAATTTCACGTGCGTTTCGAAGTTCATCCATAATGCTGTAATGCAGTAATGTTGTACAAAGTATTCAAATTAACCATTTTATGGAGACGAATGTATGTTTTTTTTTCCATAAAATCATTCTATCGAATACGTTAAAATGTCTATAAAAGGTTATGAAATTTCATGATTAACAATCAGCCCAGAATGTATAATACCGATATATATAAATAAATTTCTTTGGAATTTTCTATAGGAACCTTCTTATTTTTCCTTTGTTTTTTCGAGTGTATGGCAGATCGTGATTGGTCAAATAAATTATGTTTTTGATTTGCATATATAAGAAAATTAACTATCGTACATTTTATAAAATTTTTTTTTATTATTTTTTTCTTTTTAAAATGGGAAAATCCAATAGTAAACTCAACGAAGACGAACTGAGGGAGTTACAAAAATGCACTCATTGTAAATATTATTTTTTTTTACGTTAAACAGTCTAGTATTTTTGCCTCTCATATCTTTAGCTTAACGTTTTGTTTATTTTTTAAAAAAAATAGTTAACAAAAGTGAACTTCAACAGTGGTAAGGATTCTTTGAAAGCTTTGTTTTCGGGGTTTTTTTTCCTAGAAGTTTTCAAAATAGTTTACATATTTATTTAATATTTATTCCCGTTTTCAACAAAAGGTATAAAGGATTTTTAAAAGATTGTCCTTCCGGTGAACTTGACAAAATCGAGTTTCAAAAGATATACAAACAATTTTTTCCTTTTGGTGATCCCTCCAGATTTGCTGAATATGTTTTTGATGTATTTGATGAAAATAAGAATGGAAAAATAGAGTTCAAGGAGTTTATATGTGCCTTATCTGTTACTTCCCGAGGAAAATTGGACGAGAAGTTACATTGTACGTTTTTTTTTTATTATATATTAATTGTTATCCTATTGAACCTTAGAATTGACAATTTTATCTACGATCG